TTCATTGAACAGATGGCGTACACAGTCGACTTAAGTTATTAGAAAGAAATACTTTAATCAATAGCAGATTTATCAATTATTATAGCATCTGCTATTACTAAAATTCGTTTTATTCAAAGAAGTACAATATATTTTGATAATTAAGAATCAATAGATTATTATATCTATGTAGCATTCGCTAAACTACACATACACAAATTTAGGTATAATGTTCTATTTAAATGAAAAATGAAAAATGGACGTAAATTTCACTTATATAATGCACTATTTAGATATCAGTTGAAAAAAAAAAGATGAAGAAGAAACGCATAAAAATAGAAGAAGTTACTTTTGTAAAATAAGAACTTTTGCATCATATGGTCCTAAGTTCGTCTTTAATGTATTATCATCAACTTGATATTCGTTCTTTGATAACCAATCAATCCATTTTCCATTTTGAGGAATATTATTAATTTCATAATCACTTTTTTCTTCAGTAAAAAAATATGTAATAACAATTAATTCTTGACTTCTTGTATAGACAAGAACACCATTATTAAGATGCTCATGTATAAAATTCACGACTTTTTCTCTTAGTTCTCCACGTTTTTTCCTTAGTTCTATAAGTTGTTTCCATGTATTAAATAAAGAACGATTTCGATCATTTTTTAATAAATCCCATTGCATAGGAAATATTTTTTTATTTTGATCTTCATTACCCCATTCTCTTGCATCACCTATTTCTTCTCCTTGAAAGATAAAAGGTATACCAACTGAAGTAAAGAGAATAATTATAGCAAGTCGCATACATATAAAAGTGTTATCATCAAATAAATTTCCATTTTTATCAAGTAGAAACAACAAACGCTCATTATCATGACATGATAAATAATTAATATAATCAGGTGCACTTATTATATATTTAATAAGATCAAGTTCAAATTTGTTTTCATCTACTAGATTATTAGCCACAACACCATGAAATGTAGAAGACCAACATACATCAACAGGACCACCATTTGCTTTAATAATTGCTGGAGTTTCTGGAACATATTCAGCAGCAGTCAAAAATGGCTGAGAACCACGAACAGAACGAGCAACATTATCTAACTCACGAAGAATATCATAATTGTCCATTTCTTTAGCTGAAAAAAACCAAAAAAAAAATAGAAAATTTAAAAAAAAAAAAAAAAAATTTACCAGCATCAAAACGAATACCATCTAAGTGATATTCACTTATCCAATAACGTACAACATCAGTTGCAAACTTCCATGCTGGTTTTAGGTTCTGTTGTTCATCATGATATTCAAAATTAAATTCAGGACCCCAATAACATGGATCTATGTAAACAAAAGTAATTATATGTTAAAAAAAGAATACATACATATATATATATTCTTACATACCATCTGGATTATGCCTTTCTTTGTAATACTAAAATAAACATATAATTTTAATTAAAGAAAATATAATAACTTACCCAATAATTACGATCAATCATTGCTAGAGGACAATCTGTAGCCGTATGATTGAATACTGCATCAATAATAACTCGAATTTTTCGTCGATGACATTCATCAACAAGTTGTTTAAAATCTGCGCTTGAACCATAAGTTGTTTTAAATGCAAGAAAATGTCTTGGTAAATAACCCCAATCATGATCTATACCCATTGATTCTATAGCCAACAAAAAAAAAAGCTAAAAAATTTAATTTAATAAAAGAATCTCACCTTGAATTGGTAATAATTCAATAGCATTACAACCTAAATCGCTAAGATAATCTAATTTTTCAATAACTCCAGAAAATTGTCCATTAACAGCAAAATCAGCAACATACATTTCATATATAATTAAATCTTTATTATCTGGTAGTTTTATGTCATCATGTTTCCATGAATATTCATCTATTATCTTTTTTCCATTTTTTATAGTTATTATACCTGTATTTTTAGTTGGATCATATTTAGTGACATATGGATCAGTAACATCTATCCAATTATCTTCATTATGACGTCGAATACGAAATTTATATTCATGATCACCATCAGAAATTTCTATTGAACAATGAAATGTTCCATGTTCAAGGTTCATAGGAATACCTTTCCATTCAGAAAATGAGCCAATTAAAGAAGCTTCAGCAATCGTTGGTGCAAATAGAGTAAAATCGATCGTTGGCATATTTACGTCAATGAACTAGAAATATCGCACTATATATGGATACTATGACCGTATTTTTTTTTTCTTTTGCTCGTTCTTATACTTTTGCGTTTCATAGCAAGAAATAGACAACGCGCTTGGTGAGAGTTAAACAGTATGTCGAATAGGTCAATAAGTAAATCTCTCATGCACGTGTCTACTAGTTTCAGTGTTTATGGATGATTAAATACGTAAATCAATAGTTAAACTTGTCGTTTGTTTATTTCAACGTCGTTAAAAAAGAAACACACGGATAACAAGAAAAACACAACAACGGGGGTTAGAAAGAAGAAACAAAGTGAAGATTGTTCTGTTGCTTTTATTTTGTATGTGTGTGAAAATAAGATCTTAAAAAACACGTTTTTTTTCATTTCTCAAATGTCAAACTACAAACACACATGTCACTATTTATTCGTTCAATAAAGAGATTATTGTCCACCAGGACGTAATGATGATAAACCAGCTCGAAGAATCTCATCAACAAGAATTAAATTTGTTGCAATTGATGTACTTGAATGAATCAATTGTTTTTTAACACGATAATTATCATAAATACCTAATGATTTTGGTTCCATGGCTTCACCTAATAACAATCAAATTCTTAACCATCTATTTTTGCTGTTATTCAAAAGTATCATACATACCTGTTGTAATATCGATGCCTACTGGTATTTTTGATGTTTCATATTCATGTTGAAGTTTAACAATTGTTTCTTGTTGATCATGTCCTGCATTTTGAGCTATAGCCTTTGGAATAATTAATAGTGCTTCAGCAAATGCTTGAACACCTAAACGTGCTCGTCCTTTAACTTGTTGTTTATATTGAGTAAGTGCTTGATGAGCAACTATTTCAAAAGCACCACCACCAGGTATCACACAACCTAAATAAGAAATAATTATTAATATCAATTAAATCTAATTAAATAAAAACTAACCATCTTCAAGTGCATTGGTTACTGAACGAAGACCATCACGAAGAGCATCTTTAAGTTGATTTAATATATATTTAGTTGAACCTTTAAGTAAAACAGTTACTGATTTAGGATTTTTACATCCTTCAACAAATGTAAATTTTTCTTCGCCCTAAAACGAACACAAAAAAATATGAAATAATTCAATTAATGCAAAAAAATATACAAACCAAAACATGTTCATAAACATCTTCAGCAAAGCCAAGACATTCTTTTGTAAGATTTTCAACCGAACTAATAGATAAAAAACTTATTCATGATCATTTTTAATATTTTTTATTACATACTTCATAGCTTCACCACCACATGCTAAAGTTAAACGTTCCATATTTCGACGTTTAGCACGTCTCAATGCTAAAATTCCTTCTTTAGCCAAAACATCAAGTGATAATGGATCAATTCCTTTTTGATTGATAATAACAAATGTTTTATCTTTATCATCACCCGAACAAACTTTTCGTTTAAGTTCAACTATTTTTTGTACACGATCATCAATAAATTTACGTTCTGATGCAACAAGACGATCACGTTCTTCAGCATTTTTATAAAAGAAACCAGCATTGACTTCACTAGAAACAAACAAAAAGGGAGAGGAGAACAGAAAAATTAAAATACATCGTTTTTTTTTTTCAATAAAATAAATTCTTTACGTTTTTTCATATTCAAGTGAAATATTACAAGTTAAAATATAAGCATTTTTAAGTGCTTTTGGCATTGATGGATGGCGACCACCATGATCAAGTACAATACCACGTACAAGTCGAGAATCAGCTTCTGTTCGATGTTGCATTTCCATAATTTCAACCATATTTAAGTCAGTTGGTTTGCCTGGTTCATTGATAGCTAATATAGCATCAACAACAATCTACATATAAAAAAAAACAGTGTCAATACAAAACAAAAAAATCTAAAAGAATGAATATGAACATCAGTGAGAATATCAGCATTTTCCATTGATAATTTTGTACGTAATGAAGTACGGGCTATTTGAATAAGTGTTTCACGATCTTGTGTTATAGGTACTTTGAGTGTATCAAGTACTTGTAATGCTTCTTTTTTTGCTAATTCAAAACCTTCTGCAACAATGCGTGGATGAAGACCCTATCAAAATATATCAAATAGATATATTACTCTTGTATTTTTTTTAAATATTATTTAATTACTTCGCTAATATAAAGATCAGCCTGTTTAAGAAGTTCACCAATTATTAATACAATTGAAGTTGTACCATCACCAGTTATATCATCTTGTGCTGTAGCTGCACGAGCAATTAATGATGCAGTTGGATGTTGAACTTGCTATATACATATATATATATATATAAAACTCATCAATTAAATAAACGAGAAAAGATTAAGACAAACCATTTCATGAAGAAGTATGTTACCATCTTTTGTTATTTTGATATCACCAGCACCCGATACAAGCCTAAAATATCAATCAATGAAATATTAAAACAAAAATTAATTTAATTTTATATACATTTTCATTGTTCCTTTTGGACCTAAATTAGTTTTAAGCATTTCAGCAAGACCACGAGCAGCTGAAATATTAATTGCTAATGCTTGAGCTTGTCGAGCACTTTCAGCTTTTGGATTTAATGTTGTAATAGCTGACATGATTGATTGATTTTCTGCTCACTGATTTTATAATCTCAAAAAAGAAAATAGATCATTTATGAAATATTTGAAGAATCTGACAAAGTAAATTTGTTTTTTGTTTCATTTTAACAAAAAAAAAAAACTTATAATCATGATGATAAGATTCAAGAAAAACAAAAAAATCGGTTTATAACTGACTAATCGCTATCGTTTAATTAACAAACAAAAAATATCTGTTTGAATTTAGTCCATTATGTTGGATTAGATGATGACATAGGTACAATATTTTCCAAGTCATCTTCGATTACTATCAATATAGATGATGGAATTGATGAACGCTAAAAGAAAATCTTTTATTTAAAGAAACAAAATTATCTTAAAAGTTACTTGAGTGATTGACATAGAATGTATATAACGTACAAGACCCTTACGTAGTTCTGATGTTATTTGCAAGATATGTTTTAGTTGTGAAGATGGTAATTGAAGAAGTATTGGAAATGAATGTGGTTGAGTTTTTTCACAACATTTTATAAAACCTTCCCATATTCGAGCTTGGTTCCATACCTAAAAAATATTTCAGACGATGAATATATTATTTAAAATCAATTGTCACTTCAGTGAAACCCAAATAAAAAGACAGTTCACTGAACGAGTATAAAAATGGAAGAACACTTTTGAAATATTATTTTGTCATTCAAAGATTGAGTCATGTATGACTTTATCAGTACACTATTAACTGTAATTTTCGTTCTAATCGATTTTGAACGAAATCAAAATTTCAAATTTGCATTATTCAAGTCTTCACCGATCTCGGTAAATATTTTTCTATCTTAAAAGAACACTTGTGATACAGTAAATCAGATGTTGAATTCAATTATAGCTAATATGTCGAGATAAGTAGAAAAAAAAAATTTCCTATGGTAATTAAGCGACTGAAAAGTATAAAATTTGTTACTGTTAGGTATCTTCATAAGAAAATTTACTTGTTTCATTATAAGTCGTTGTAAAATAGTCATAATAAAACCAACCATGTTTGGATAAAGACTAAATGTTTGTAAAACTGTTCGCATAAATAAAATAGGAATTGGTGTTATTTCAACAAGTTGTTGTAGAACAACAGCAAGAATATCATGAGTATAAATTGAACGTTCATTAAAACAGATGGATGTCGCTATATAAATTATTGATCAGCTAAGAAATAAAACATATCAACAATTCTACCGTTGATTATTGTTTTTAATTCACATTCTTCAAGTGAAATTCGATGAAGAGCAATTAATAATTCCGATGGTAATAATACATTTGTCTGTGAACTTCGAGATGTGTCTAGAAAGATATGGCCTTTTGTAAGAAAATAATATTAGAAACTCTATCATATCAGTCAATTATAACGAACCAAATTTAAGATATTTATTTCGAGAAAAGAATTGTTCTTTCAATAAAATTAATAATAAAGACATTTATATACATTTATTCATTTTTGAATTCGATTCAGAAATGCAAATCATTCAGCTTATTTGAATGAGATTTGATGCTTTTTTTTTCTTGTCATTAGAATTTTCCACAATATTCTATACAAGATGATTGATCATTATCAATGTTAATCTTTTAGAATGTTCTTATAGTTTCATACGAAGAGTGAAAAAGAAAAACTTGCTCCTGACAGAACCTACCATTCAAACCTAAAAGTCGATTAAAAACTTCTTTAACCACTGGAGGTGATAATTTTATGAACTTTGGTAATGCATTTAGAATTTCACTCTAGAAAAATTATATTTAATACAAAAAAAAAAGTTGTTTATTACTCTAGTCAATCATACCTTTTCTAAACTTGCCAGTACTGGAATCAGTAGACGAACATCTAATATACGTGTATGATATAAATCTCGTATTTTTTCAACAATCTCATGTGATGGTGGCACTATTAGAGACAAATAGTAAAAGGCATAAAAAAAAACAAGAGGAGATTTATTATTTTTACTTTGTTGAGTAAGAATATGAATAATACGTGTAATCAATGCTTCAGCACCCTGAGGACAATTTTTAATTAGTTTTAATAGTTCTGGACTAGTCATGCCCATTTCACGTATCTGTATAAAATAATTATTATATCAATGATAATTAAAGTACAAGAGCAAAAAACTTACGGGAATTTCTAAAACCTGAAGGATTACTCGTTTAATATTCTTATCAACTGCTGTATAAATAGTTACTAATCTACAAAGAACAAGAAAAAAGTATGTGCAACACTAAATACTAAACAACAGAAATCTTACGATTGAATCAAATAATGATTTGATGAGATTAAATTAAGATATAATGAAAGACAAAGATGAATAGAATCTTCTGTCCAAACATCTTTTGATACTATAAAAAAAGAAAAAAATTATTTCAATTAAGAATTTTAAGGATAATCTCGAGTTTTCGGAATTTTTGGAGAAAATCTTATCAGAAAAGTTTGAAATCTTCAGAAAAGATAGATTCTAACGAGTAGAACAAACTTTGTCATAGAATTAAACTTCACGAAGATTGTCTTTTATCAAATACTGGAATCTCGATGGCTTCAATTTTCGTTCATGTGTCTCCGAGATGATATGTTCAATCAAACTAAAAAGCTTTCTCTACAAACACTAGACACTGATCGAAGAGTATGTTTTTTAAACTTTTTTTCGAATAAAAAAGCCAAAATATCGAGTGTAACCTTGAAAACGCATATGTTTTTGAATACCCATCTCGAACAAAGTATTGTATATGTGAAAAAGTTTTTGCACTCTTTTTTTTTTGTGCAAAAGCTGGTTTGACAAAAAAAGCGACACAATCTAGTTTTCTCTGTTTCCGATACGTAAATTTGATTTTTTAACAATAAGAACAAATGTGGATTATGGAAGGGGAAGGAGTACTCTGAAAATTATTTCTTACTTGTTAATGATTTGCTATCATCACAAAATAATATGTCTGGTGGCTGTAAAGCTCGTAAATATGTTAAACAATTCAAAGCATATTCCTAAAAAAAGAAAAGAAGAAATTCTTCAGTGCAAAGTCTATTATTAAAAAAAAACTAAATTTTACTTCGATTGATTGTTGATATTCATTTTTTTCATGCAAACTTTTTATAATATGTATAGCTTTATTTCTAACAGAAACATTTTCATTATGAGTAAAATTAAGTAATATATTCAAACATTTGTCACGAATTATTATTCGTTGAAAAATAAGATTACGTAAGATACTCATGCCCAGATCAGAATGATTCTTTAATAAAATAAACATTAATTTTATTTCAAGAAAACAAAAAAATACACATTTTCTTTTACTTCATCTCGACAATATCGTTTAAGTATAAGTAATGCATTATATGTAATTAAGGGTGCACTCATAAATAAACGAGTAAATAGACTAAGAAATAAAACATTATGATATAAATCAAAGAATTATTCATATTTTATTTACTCATCATATTTTCCTTGTAAACATTCAAGTAATCGACACAATATATGATCATATTTGGTAAAATCTTTATTTTTATTTGATACTAAATAGCCACGAGCATAAACATATTCGTGATAAATCAATGTAAATGCAAGATGATATCGTTTATATACATCAGCAAAAATATAATCTTCATAAACTAATATTAAAATTTATTTATTCATTTAATTTGAAAACAAAAAGTCGAAGTATATAAATCTTACTATTATGAAAACTTTCTTCGAATAAATAAACTAATGAAGTCATCAATTTTTGTCGTATATGTTCAACACCAGTTCTTTCACAAATATCTAATTATATATAATTAGATCGATAGATTATGAACAGAAATATGAGAACAAACCTTCAGCATCAAGCATTCGATGAAATGCATTAAGTGACATACGTTGCATTTCATCATATTCAAGTGGTTTTATTACATTAGATAATTTAAATGATTTCATTTTTTTCTGTTGGATATTTGGAATCTTTATTAAATCTGTAGATGTTGATAAAATTGCATTAGTCGATGGTAAATGTATTTTATTATCAAAATCAGATGAGATTACAAATGATGAATTATCATTTCGAACATTTGTTACATTTGATGCAACTTTGTCTTCTCGAATATTATTATTATATATATGTGGTTTAACATGCTAAAAGAAAATCTTGAATGTAATAGTTTTTGTAAAATACAATCTAAAAGGAAGATTCAAGTATATAGGGTAGACAGGTCCAAAGTTTTCAGACTTGAAACGATTTATAGAATGCTTTTGGGACCCAAACTATATACGAGACCATACTTTGATACTTTCAATTAAACGAGATAGTGTTTTTCGATTTTCTACGTTCGGTGGTCAGTGCATTCTACATATTCCACAGACGACTCATCTAAGAGATGTGTACAGTACAGCCTATCCTATCTCATGCTTTCGAACACAGCCGGCGATTAACCCGACTGGCTTTATTGGCAATTCTCTACTGGACGGTGTGAATAACAGCTATATCAACATAAGATCATTAGCTGTTTGATGAATTAATTTCTCATGCTGAAGATGAGATTATATATTAAGATTACTTACATCACTTGATAAGATTTCTTCTTTTATTAAGTTATTATTTATATCATCCTATTTAATTATGAGATGAAAAATTTATATAAAACTAAAAATAATGTAATTGACATACATTAATATTTTTCGATTTTTTAGTATTTTCATTTGTATTTGAAATTAACTTTCGTTTTGATTCTGTTATTACTTTAGGTAAATGTTTGAGAATCTATTATAAAGAATTTAATTAAAAAGCAGAACGAAAAACAAAAAAAAAAAAAAGAAGAATTATACTTCTGCCTGTGTAGTACCAAGATCAGTAAGTAAAGTTATAACTTGTGGTTGTATATTATATGAAGTTGAATATTTGAGAAGACTAAGTAATTTTAATTTGATTATATTACGTATATTAATAACTTGAGAATCAATGAAAGTTGAAGATAAATTAACTTAAATATATATGTTCAAATATTAAAAATAAAAATGATTAAAATATTCAATAAATAATTACCAAGTAATATTTCAAATGTTTGTATCACTCGTATTATATAATCTAATCGTTGTCGAGCAATATTAGTTACGGCTTCTACAGCTGCAATTAAATTGACACTGAAATAATGAATTAATATAAAGAAAAAGAAAATGATGCATTATACCTAGTTATATGTTGAGAAACAGTAAATTCAAATAATTTTTCTATTATTTCTTTTTCTTCTTTCTCTAATTTAATTCGGCATAAAATTTTATGATTATCTTGTACTAAATGTTTTGAAATATCTTCTTCATATCGTGATAATGTAAGCACTAACATTTCAATAAATTTAATAACTATTGTACAAAGTCTAGAATATATTAATAATTTTAAAAAAAAGCAATATTCACATAACTAACCGATCATCATCTGAATTAAGCATAGATATAATATGATTTTTGATATTAGTCATACATTGCCATATACTATGTATATTATTATCGATTGATTGAGATTTTGATAACCACTAAATAGAGAAATGATAGTTCATTTATAAATTTACATTTATACTTACAGTTAAAGTCGATTTATAAATTGAAATTATAGTAAGAATAAGTTTTTTTTGTACAAATATATTTTCATCATTAAGTAACAAATGAAGACTATCGATTACTCTAAGAATAAGTTTTGGATCATATTGACTAAAACAACAAAATTAAGTCTTTATAATGATAAAAATAATATTGTTTTTTTTTTTCTAACCAAACTTCTTCTATAAATGATATGATTGTTTTTTTGACTTCTGGACTTTTATCTGTTTGAAAATTTAATACTTCCTAGATAATAACAAAAAAAAAAGAAGAAAATAAATCTATAAGAATTATCTTTTGAATTTTTAATATATACTTCAAGAAAATGATTCAATAAACTCGGATCTTTTCGTAGAATAAGTTCTTGTACATGTCGAAGATGTTGTACTCGGTTACTATCTTTTCCATAAATTAATGCTTGATTAAGTAAATCAACAATCTTTAAAAAAAAGAAAAATAATTTAATAAACAATCATTTCGAATAGAAATAAAAACAAAAACTTTGCAAGTGATTTTCGTCGAAGGTTGAAATGTATATGTAATCAATCGATAATAATACAAAGTAGTTCATTTCGACTTACTGAAATCATTGGATTTCCGGACAAAATGATCTCCTTATGCTAGATTAGGAATGCAACAATGATATTGATCACCAGTGCACTGCTCTATGCGGGAACGCATAATGAAGCTACAGTAATTTTTGATTTATTCCGACCTTCTCGGTGAGAATAGGTCTACTTCAAAAAAAAACCTGAATTTTATAAAACATCACTAAAACGTGAAAGTCGAACTCAAGAATTCGATAAATCTCCTATAGATTCGGATTCTTGAACCTCGACAATGTTTAGCCTATTTTTATTGAATTAAGCTATTTTCTTACAAGGACCTCTTCGATCGAAACTAATCCAAAACCATCAAAGTCTTATCATGCGTTTACCATTAGTCTATGTGTACATGTCTAGACTAGTGCATAGCTGTATATAAGAATCAGAGATGTTCATCGCGGGGCGACCGCTGCCGCTGTGGCGGTGGCGGCGCGGTAGCGGTTGGTTTTTTCAAATAACCATCGCGGTGCGGCGCGGCAGCGGTCGTTTTTTTAACCAACTATCGCGGCAGCGGCGCGGTAGCGGTAGGATTTTTTAGAGAATAATGCAAAAATGCATGAATTCGAACAGAATTTCAATGTTTGCAAGTGCAAAACTATGAGATTCAACGAATCTTATCGATTGGTAACAAAAGCTCAAGTTCTGAACAGTCACAGATCGTAAAATTCACAACACTATTCTAACAATCATCGCGACATAGTTATTTTTGGTGGCGTCGCTGCAGATGTGCGGTAGGTTTTCTGTTTTTATCACCGCGGTGCGGTAGCGGCGCGTTAGCTTTTTTCTTTTATCGTCGCGGCGCGGCAGCGGTCAGTTTTCAATCGCGATGGACATCTCTGATAAGAATGGTGTACTATCAATGTTTTCTAGCCAATCATTATCTTTTAGATCAAATTCAAAAACAATTGAATTCATATAAACAGAAAGATAAAAACGTAAGCTACATTTTTGCATGTAGAACTTTTTAGAAAGTAAAATATCTTCACAGTAATATGAATGATTTTTGATGATCATTTTATCATCCAAGAAGTGTAGTAATTTTAGAAAATATTGTTTTTTCGTAATTTATGAAGTTTTCATCACCCTTTCAAACGCTACATACGAAAAATAATTAGTAGTTTTAAAAAAAATTTTTGTTACCAAAATAAAGTTTATAATCTTATTTGTTCATTCTTTTTTAAAAACTCATTATTATAACATTTCAAAAAGATAATCAATTTCTTTGTATAATTGTTAGAATAATATAAATTAAATGAAAATTGACTATTTGAAATACAGCTCAAGTTTTGACGAAAATCGATTGAAAAATTTTTCAAAATTGTACAAAAAAAATCTAATTACCTTTTCTTGTATATTATCTGACATGATTTACTATAACATGCTTTTATCATAATCTAAAACAATAAAAATAAAAATTTTCTTTTTTTTTTCTTGTTTATGTTTCTATTGAAGCAAAATCTTCTTGATCATAACGTAAATCTTCTAAAATTTCATTAATATTCTCAATAAGTTTTATTAATTTTTGATTTATTTCTTCGAATTGTTCATTTTTCTTTTCAATCTTTGCAATAAATAAATCATTTGTTAATTGAAGTTTTTGTTGTTCATAATCTTGTAATAGTTCAATATGTTTTAAAATATTTTTATTATTTTCAAAACGTTTTTTTATTAATAATATTTCTTCTGATATTCTTGCAAATATAATAGTAATATCAGCAACAAAATTTTGAAATGCTGAAAAATTATGTGTATTTAAAAATATTAATTGTGCATCATAAAGACGTTGATAAGTAAGACAACGTTGAGATTGAAGACGAAATAATGTTGGTAAAAGATCACTTATCTTACAATCATTTATATTGACATCATCTTCGATTTTCTCCATCTAGAACAGAAATACAATCATATAGAAGAAATTGCTTTTTTTTTTTTTTGTTATTAATATACAATGACAAAAGAAAAAGAAAATAAATGTTTATTTAATATATTTATCCATAAAACGTCGATGAAAATCACTACGTAAACTATCATTAACAAATTGTGCAACACGTTTTTCACCTGAAGAACCATCAGCTTTAGCACAATTTTTAAAAACAACATCATCATCCCAACGACGTTTAACACGAAATTCAGCATTTAAAGGTTGTGTTGAAGATTTTGATGCAGGATTTAATAATGGATTGCCTTTGAGAATATTTTCTGTACGAATTTTTTCTTCTTCTAAACGTTTTTGTTGTTCAAGTCGTGCTGCTTCAACGGCACGTTCTTTTTTTATACGAGCTAATTCAGCCATAAGTTCAGCTGTATCATCTTCATCATCATCGTCTTCATCATCATCATCATCATTTTCATTGCTTACAAAACGATTTGGTTGTGGATTCTTATTAAATTTTGATTGATGATGTGATGTTGTTTCTTCATCTGATGATGACTCATCAAGAGGATCACTAAAAAAAACAATACGAAATAATTTATTTATTCTATTTTACATACTCAGCATCAATATTTGTTTCTGTATGAGTTATTGAAGGTTTAGATCGACTACTTGTTGTTCCACCAGATGTAATACGTTTTGTATCAGATGAAGATCGTTGTGATGGTTGTTTATCACGAACGTTTCGTTCACGTTCTTCAAGTTCTCGACGTATACCTTCACGATCTTTTGTTCGTAATTCTTCTTGTGTATGTTGACCTTTTTCACGATATTTTAATGTTTTATTTGCTGGCATATCCCGTGCCGAATACTGTTTCGACATGCCACTAAGATTTGATTCACCTCGAGAAGTACCACCAACTGAAAAAGAAACATTTTTTATTTCAACTAATGTTTTTTTTTGCTTCGAATCAATGTAAACTACTCACCGGCTGGTTGAAATGCATTGGTCGCCATGGTTTGTAGAACAAAAATCTAAAACATAGATTGAAAATATTTAATTGTACAAAAAATCGATCTTATTATTCATCTATTATATAAACTTTCAATAAAAACATATATCTATTTTATGAAATAACATTTTAATATACTTTTTTCAAGTGTAAACTATTCACACAATGAAATCACATATATGTTGTGTATTGGAACTAAGTTACACCATTCTATACACACACATATTGTTGTTTGGAGAAATTGCTATCCAATTAAAGATAGTTTATTAATATTTGTTCAAGACTAAATTTATATTTATTAAAAAAGTAAAATCAAATAAATTTATTTTATATATAAAATAAAATTGTTTGCTTATTTTGAATAAATTCCAGAGGTCGCCAATGTAGTAAGAATGAAAATGAATGGTTATGACAAGCTAAACACATATCATCATCATCATAGTTTTGAATGATTTCAGAAAGGAAAAACTATCTTTTATATTATTCTCAGTGTTATTTTCTTTATTTAACAAAAATATATTATTTTTCACATAATGGCACAAGTAACAACAACAAATAATGAACTTACAACTCCATCATTTTGTTTTCATAAGACAACATTTGGACAAAATATACGATTAGAAAATAATGCATCAAAAGCAGTTCGACATACATCTTTCGATCATGGTATTCTTGTTTTTTTTTTATTTTCACTTTTTAATATTTCTTTTGTTTTATGCTCTTTCTCCGTTTTTAGGCATTACATTTACAGATAAACCAATTAATATTAATGAACGTATACATTTAAAAATTGTTGAAGTTGACGAAACTCGTCAATGGTGTGGTTCATTAGCTATAGGTGAAAAGTAAAATTATAGGAAAACAATAGGAAATTTTTATCATAAATATTTTAGGATTTACTCAAGTAGATCCAAATACAATTCGTCAAGAAGATTTACCTAAATCAGCATTACCAAATCTTAGCTCAACTAATAAATGTTCTTATGTCAAACGTCTTTATGAAACATTGACAAAACAACTTTGTATTATTTTTTATTATAATCCTGAGTATGTCATGAATTAATTTTGAATAAATTTCTTTTGTTTTTTTTATTATTATTTCATTCATTTAGTGGAGCTTACTTTATTCTTGATGGAAAAGAACAAGATATATGTAAAAATATTGATATTAAAAAACCTCTATGGGCAGTTATTGACATATATGGCAATGTGAAAGGTACTTAATGAAATTGTTAGATAGTCAAGTTCGATTATTGATTTTATTTAATATCTCTATTTATTATTTTTATTAAAAAAAAACATTGCTTAGTTATTCATTTTTACACGATGCAAAATATTATCATTACTAATATTTTCTTGAAAATGCTTGAAGGTTTCTTTTTCTCAGCTAATCATGATTTTTCTAACATTCATTGCTTCGAGAAAAGAAGTTAGAAAAAAATTTAATTATGAAGTTTCTAACTGAAAGTTGACTCATTGAAAGATCTTGTAATCTTTTCCAGCTGTCTTCTTTAGACTTCGAATATTAAATATCAGTCATATGTATATAAATCATGTAATTCTATTACTCTTCATTACTTATCACAGACTGTAAATCAAGTAAAAGAATAATAAAACTTTAGACGGAAATTTTTTAGATATGAACTGTTAAAAGTTTATTAGATTTTATTCAAATCACTAAACATATGTGTTAACCGCGTTTCGTATATTTCCGATTGAATAATTTAAAAAGTATGAACGGTATTTTCCAGTTCATGGATCTTGAACGTGCACTAATAAATTAATCTCAATGAAGAATAAAATTATACTCATTTTGTTGTTTCTTGTTATGTTAAACTATTATTATTTTTTTTTTAAATCAAAGATTATTTCTTCTTTTCTAGCTGTCACTTTTACAATTCCACCAAAAACTACTGACGATGGCAAATCTTTATTTGCTAAATATCCTCAAAAGCCAGATAAATTACCAATTCGTTATTTTACTCAATTAAAACCTGAAAATTTTCAACCAGTTACATTTAGTAATGTTCATGGTCCCGAATTGGAATTATATTGTGAATATAAAGTTGCATTACGAAAACGTAAGTTTTTAAAATTCA